TGATTTATTTATTTATTTATTTATTCATGCAATGCATCTTTCACTGGGATAGGGTGACATGCGTTGGTGTCACTGTGTAGGTTCATGGTTGGCTTCGCGGTAGGATCAACTTCTGTGAAACAAATATGAGATAATTAGAATTAGACAGCTGACAATGTACAAATAGACTTGTAGTTACACCATCAGTTATAGGCAGGAGTCAAATTATACTTCATCTGTGACTTTCACATCCAAGGCCACATTGTTAGGAGCTTAACTTTGTTGTCACAATAAATTAGAAAAATCGTTACGGTTGATTCAAGTATTTTCAAAATGGATGTGTTAAACATTTGTGATCATAATCACTTCAACCAGTAGTTTCTTACCTATTTGGCATATATATTCCTTAGTCAGATGTAGCATTTTCTTTTCAAAGAAAAAAGAAGTATCAGTTATTAATTGTATATTTTTTTCAATTGATATCATTCAATTATGCATTCACTACTGAGTGAATAAGTGTGTCTGTTACAAAAAGCGTCCTGCACACAAAGAACAAAAATCTAATTTTGAAAAGAATTACTAGTATTGAAGACCCATTTTCTTATTTTGTATTCGAATATATGCTATGCAAAAGACAAACTCACTGTCGTAGCATACGTATCCAAACGTCTTATGGCATTTTTGATCGCCCCACTGCAATTCCTTAGTTCTCCTGTCAACAAAAAAGAATGTACGATTGTCAACGATGAATACCCAGCTCGGTTTTTAATATTGATAGATTGCTCTTCTAATCTTTTTATTCCAATAATTAACTTGATGTGAATATGTATAATATGTCACAAAATTAATGTAGATTTTTTATGGATTTATATAAAAAAGAAAATGAACAGAAGGTTAAATTCACTTAATATCAGTGGCAGCGGCACGGGGGGAGAGATGAGGCAACCCCCCAAATGTGGGGGGTGTCGCCCCCCTAAAGTCAAGCTGAAACCCTTTGTGTCAGCAAATTTTGTCTCTCAAATTGCAGAAATGGCGTTTCAGAGCGTTTAGATTTAAACAAATTTCAGAGGAGCATGCTATGGAC